ACTATAACAAAATGTAAATGGCTTTGAAATTATCTAGCTTTGCACTAATCTGAATGTTTGAAGATTCACAACTAATTAAATTTAATCAAAAGTAATTTTTTAGATTGACTAACTGTACCTGTAAGTATTTAGGAGCAAAAGAAAATGGCAGTGCCCATATTTTGCATGTTCTTGATCAGATCTCACTCTTACTGTGTTTCTGGCTGCATTGGCTTTTTTTACAGACACTGAGTGCCAGTAAAATAGAACATGTAAATCTTCTATAAATAGGCATGATGGACAGATCAACTTCCAGTTCAAAAGAATTAGTAATCCATCTGGGACATATCACTATGCATGGGAATAGAGAAACTCAAAATGTGAGACAGAACATATGAGTGACCTCTATAAATCTTGTGTAAGAGTCTTTGGAGAAGATTTAAAAAAAAAAAGTGGCTAATGCTTTGTAATTGGCAGGCTATCAAAGGATTTGGGAGTGGTGCTGGGAAGGAGCAAAGAATCTGAGTGGGTGACAGACAGAGGGAGCAATAATGGTTGGGTGTAACACAGAGAGCTGGCAACACTGGAGATGGGGAGATTAGCTCAAAGATGTCACTGAGGTGGAGTTTCATAGTCATCTAAGGAGGGGAGAATTAGAAGAAAAAAAAAACATGCCCTGAAAACCACGGCCACTATGTTTACTCAATAATAGTAAACATGTGATCAGTTTCTGTTAGTCATGCCAGTGATGGTTCTAAAGCATGGGTTGAACACAGTTGCATGTAAAAAAGGCATTCTGGGTCTAATTGATATTTGGAGAGGCAAGATACTATAATGAATGCATGGAAGACGTAAACACTATAAAGCAATGCTAACAATTAGTCTGCTGACCTCATGAACCCATTTACTATCTCTGTGTTAGGTCCAGGCTTCTTGCCTAACAATTGTTGGCCTTATCCAGCCATGTATCTCACAAGAAACTCTTTTTATTAATTAATTTATTTTTAACTTTTACCAGAGGATGCATGTGCACTCATCAAAGAGAGAGAGGGAGAGAATTCAGCCCAGAGGGGGAATGGTCACACTACAATCTCCTCTCCATTTTGCCAGGATTCAGAGCAGAGCATGCACATATATTCACCTGGCATATTTCTCAAGTTTTCAGACTTAGGACTCAAACTATGAGGTCAGCCCTGCGGGATCAGGCTCCCTTAACCATCAGGCTACAGAGTCAGCTCCCACTAGGAACTTTTACAATTTTTTATAGTTTTGACTTGAAGTCATATACTCACCAGAGAGACAGAGAGAAAGTGAGAAATCACACCCTAGGGAGTGGGCTACACTCTCTCATCTAAAGATTTTGAGCACACATGCACATATGCCCAGCATGTTTTTCAAACCACTGGGTCCAAGACTCAAACCACACAGCTGGTAATGTGAGATCCAGACACTTTAACCAACATACTACCAATCAGCCTCAGGAACTCTTTTTATAAGTGACCTTGCTGAAAGGATAAGTAATTGCTGGAAAGATGAAGGCATGGATGAGAAGAGAGGTAGAGAGGGAGAACCAAAACTGGTGTTGCCTAACTGTCCCAGTAATAATCCCGAACCTCAGAGAAAACACTGACAGACTTTCCCCATCACCATGTACCCCATGAAATGGGCTGAACGCTCCCCAACCACCAGCTCTACCCCAATTACATCACTGTCCATGGGCAAGTTCTCTTCCATTTTGGAGCTCATTAGTGACCCTGAACTTTAGAAATAGTGATGCTATTTTGAAGAGGAATGAGAAAATAATTAGTAGCAACAAGAAAGTAAGTCACCTTTCCATGACTCAATAGAAAGGCACAAGCCTTTATTCAGATACTAGAGTGAATGGGATTCAGGTCCAGAGTGGATATAACCTTCTAACATAGGCAGATTCACTTACCTCATGAAAGTCAAAAACTTTTTCTACAAAAAGGCCATTGGCAATGCTGAGGTCGTAATACTTGTGGGATGCGTTTATATCAGAGAGTACCCTTTTCATTTGAGACTGGAAATCCGGCTGCTTTAAAAAGATGTATACAGATTTATTATTGGACTGTAAAAATATGTATGATCTCAGCTACACATAAAATAAAACATATATATTATACTGTAAAAGAACTGAAAATAAAAGCAGCAGTGTCACATACATCTCCAATGTCTTACCCTTTATCATAGTAACATCTAAGATCAAATGAAAGAATATACTAAAATAATCCAATTTAGAATACAGTGGCTAGCAAAAGATAATGAATTTGTCTAATGTGTGCACTGAATAATTAATTTTTCCAATTAAAGTGGGCTGGGACTATCAACAGAAAAAGGCAAAACAGTTAGTTTCATGCTATCTTGACAAAATCTGACCAATAAACAAGCAAAATATTGCTGAATTAATAATCTAGCAGAAATTATCAAAAATTTTATTTGGAATACACATGATTCGGATGAAATGTTTCTTTAGTTTAAAAGGATAGAGAACGCATTTTAAAATTCATAAGATAGCCATTTTTCTCAATTTAGTCTCATATTATCTTTTTCTAAAAGGATACCATTGTCTTTACCTGATTATTAGAAGAGCTTCCATGTCCTGAAAGCATATTGAGGTGAAGTATCTAAAACAGGACACAAGAAAAGGAGTTATCAGAATCAGGGGTTACCAGAGGAACAGTTGCAAAAGGCTTTCAAAATAAAAATATTTCTTTCCCATTAAATGTATCTACTTCTCATTCTAAGTTTACTACTGTTCTAGAATTAATTCTCTTATAATCTCAAATAAATATCGATAAAGTGAAAAGAAGAAAAACATGCTCTAGTATTTATTTATTTATTTTTAGAGAGTTTTGTTTTAGGGTACATGGTGGAGAGACAGACAGAAAGCATGCATTTTATTTCATTTGCTTTAATTAATTACAAGTAAATCTTGTTTCAACCATGAGAGATTACCCTGACATGCTTCTGTCTACAAAAGGATTAAAAATTTGGGAACAGTACCTGCAGTGACTGGGGATTCTCATATAATTCTGGCTCAGCAGCCCAGGACAGCACCAGGACTACCCACGTAAAAAAGCTTTTTTGCTTTTAAATTTATAGATTTGATAAACTGTCACTGCGAAATTATGGCACTAAAAAGTTATGCCATATCAGTCCACAGGAAATGTTCTGTTTGTTCTGGTGATGGCTATGTGCATTGTCTTTTCTTAAAACTTCTACCATGCGATGAGAATCTTCTTTACAGCATCTCTATTAGACAATAGAGCAAGCCTTTCACTGCCCAATTAGAAAAGAATACAATTGGCTGTTCCCACTGTCAATCACCAAGACAGAGGAGGACAGCAAGTCACTTCAAAGAAGCAGTGATCATACTTCATCCACTGAACTTTTCCACGGCCAAAAGTTTGTTTGTGCTCCTGCTAAAATGAACTAGCAGGGAGGTCTCCAGCTACATCCTGACCCTTGAAACAATTCAAGGAATAAGATATTTTGTGCAGAGAGCTGAGACACTAATATAGGTGGTAGCTGATGTTATCTTCAGTACAAATAAAAGAACTTACTTATTGAAACACTTTTTACTGATGCCTAATATTTAAACTTTTGGAATTTATGGAGTTTTAAATTATTCATTTACTGTCTCAGAAAAAAAAAAAAAAATACTATAGTACAACTTGGAGCCTGGCAAAGAGAAGAAAAATTTTACTGGATCTCTGGCCGAAACAAAAAGTGTTTCCAAAACATTCAGGCATGGTTGCCTCAATGAATGAATAAATTTAAGTTTTTAATTGGCTGTTACATGAAGCCAGGGATTACCATCATACTAGTAAGTATTTTTTGTGTTGAAAATGGTTTAATGATTTGATAGTCCTTTCTTTTCCTTCCCCCATGTTCTTTCCAATTTAATGATTCAAGAGTATTTTAAAATATATATAATTTATGGGGGCCAGCAGTTAACGTGGTGGCTATGTTGCCGGATTCCCATGTAGTCAACCGCAGTTCAAGTTCCAGACCCGATGGCTTAAACTCACGCCGGATCCGTGTGCGTGCATGCCCAAGGTCCTGAGAGGAGAATGGAGGAGAAGGGATTGTGGCATGCCCAATCCCCCCAGGGGGTAATTTCTCGCTTTCTGTCTCTCTGTTTCTGTCTTTCTGGTGAACACATGTACCCTATAGCAAAAACCTCTCCAAAAAAAAGAAAAACAAAACAAAACAAATGTATAATTTAGAATTAGTGTTACAAAATTCTCAAGGAATGATGCATTTTGCCCTTTAAATGGAAAAATGCTATATGCTTCCCTTAAAAGAAGTCTTAAAAATTATCATTATACCTCTCATAGCAGACATGGTATTAAATCTTGGAACTAGAAACTGTTGAAGTCTCTAGCATTATTAAGATAAAAAGTAGGAAATGTAAAATATTAAAAGAATGTGGGCTTAAAAAATGTACACTCAAAATAGGAGCCTTTTCTTTCATAAGGTTTTTGCCATAGAGCACATGTGCTTAACTGGAGGAAGACAGAAAGTGAGAAATCATGCCCTAAGGGAGTTGACCATGCTGCAATCCGTTCTCCATTCTTTTCTCAGGAGTTTGGGCATGCATGCACACACACACACACACACACACACACACACACATACACACGCACACACGCAAAACCCAGTGTGATTCAAGCTCCTGGGTCCAGGACTCAAACCATGGGTCTTCCATGTGGGAGTCCAGTGCCTTAACCACCACAGTACCTGCTGGCCCCAAGCAGTTTTTTTTTTTAAATAAAGAATGTCAGAAATCCTGATATCTCCAACATAAACCATTCAGTTTGAAGCCTGAGAGTGTCTCACTGAGCCACAGTCACAGAGGCATTTTTTTCCAGATATTATAAAAAGAAACAGAGAGGACTTGGAGGGTAGATAGTGGTGGGGGCAATCAATGGTCACATTCCAAGTCCAGAAAGTTCCTCTTCACTCTCCTTTGATCATTGCTTAAAATAATTAATGATGTCCTTCTAACTAAATCAGCACAGACTCATCCAACAGTCATTAGAGATGAAGGCCAAGCCATGGGATCAGGGGAGCTGGGCTCATAGAGCACTTAGAGGGACCTTCCACCTGTCTGCTTTTCCTCACAGCATGGGCAGCAGCACCAGAGAAGGGCTTCCCCGGCCCAGCACAGGGTCCTTGGTAAGAGCAAGCTTCTAGCAGGATGAGTTACATCTCAACACCTTAGTCAGACACACAAAGGGGGTAGTACTGACAGAGAGGCAAGAAAGAAGAGGGCCAGACCCCAGCTTGGATTTGGTCATGTGGAATAAGAAAGGACCTGGTGAATAAAACAAAATGACAGTGGTTGAGGTGATGAGTGTGCTCATTCGCTTGATTTAATCTTTCTACACTGCATACATAGATCACATACACCTCATAAATATACAACTATTAGTTGCCAGTTAAAAATACATTTATCTCGGGACCAGCAGTTAGCGTAATGGCTATGTCGCTGGACTCCCACGTAGTCGACCGCGGTTCGAGTCCCGGACCCGGTGGCTTAAACTCACGCCGGGCACGTGTGCGTGCGTGCCCAAGATCCCGAGAGGAGAATGGAGGAGAAGGGATTGCGGCGTGGCCATCCCCCCTGGGGGGTGATTTCCTGCTTTCTGTCTCTCTGTCTCTCTCTGTCTGTCTGGCGAGCGCACGCACCCTATAGCTAAAACCTCTCCCCCCCAAAAAAAAATACATTTATCTTACAAATAAAAATTAAATTAAATTTTTAAAAAGGAGTAAAGTCTTGCCATTTTTTTCCCTCTCACATGTTTCTTATGGGAAGTTATAATAGCATAAAATATAAGAACTCACACATGACAGTAATTGATGGGGCAATGACTGCCAAAGAAAAACCTCCAGCAGAATAGCAGCTCTTTCAATTCACTAGGGGGTCCCATGAGATCCTGGCCAGAGGTCTACTAGGCATGGGATGTAGGGCATGAATGCCTCCTGAGATGCTCCAGGAAACAGCTAGGAGAGTGACCCAGATATGAACTCGCATAGTAAGAGTTGTGTGTTCTGTTGCACTAAAGGTGAGCTTCAGTCTCAGATGAGGAGCCCATGCATTACTGTCTAATACACTGAACAGCAACAATTTTAAAGCTTTTTTTTAATTAGATATCATCAAACCCAACCCCTCAGTGTATAGGTAAGGATGCTGAGGCCCACAGAGAAGAGGACATTTTCCTATGGTAGGAAGTTGGACCCACCTTCTAACTCCCAGACCATGGCTGTGTTTCTATGACACTCATTGGCTCACTTGGTTCTGAAACATTATGTAATTGTGTTAATGAATGAATACATTTTTTTAGTCACTAGACTTTTGCCAATGCTTGTATTTATTTTTAAAAATATTCACTTTCAGGCCTCCTGTTAGCTAGATCCCACATGACCAACCGCATGGTTCCAGTTCCAGACCTGGCAGTTTGGAAAACATGGCAAGTATGTGTATGTGCATGTCCAAAAAGACAAAGAAAGGAGAAATGCAGAAGGGATCGTGGTGTGACCATTCCCCATGGTGGTGCTTTCTTGTTTTCCCTTTCGCTCTGTCTCTCTCTAGTAAGCTCATGCAAATCTCTGGCAAGTTTTAAAAAAATTCACTTTAATATAACTAGAGCTTTGTATTTTGAGTTGCATTTCAGTTCAGATATGTCAGGGCAATGGTTCTCAACTGGGGATTGATTTTGCCTACAAGGGTTTTATTTTGTTGTTTGATATTGTGTTCTGTTTTGTTTTACTTTTCAATATCTGAAGTTATCTGGGGCAGGTGTCTGAAGAGGAGTATAGTGGTAAGGAGAGACCAGATACGCTGCTGAACACCCTGCCATGCACAGTATAGCCCCTCACAATGAAGAATTATCCAGCTCCAAAATATCAATAGCACTGAGGCCAAGAAACCCCACTTTAGGAGAGTCTACCTGAATTTGGATCACAGGTCTGCCATCCACTAGCACAAAGTTGGCATGAAAATCCCTCTATAAAGTCAGGATAGTGATGCCACTTCTGCATGTCACCATGAGTGACAAATAATATTGTATTTGTAGAGTTTATCCTAGAGCCCGATGCTGAAGAAGTTCTCCGCAATGACTGTTACCATCATCACATTAAAGTGAGGTATTCTATGTACTGATTTGTAAGCCACTCTAGCTCTTAAAAAAACTAACAGTCTTAGATGCTGTAGCAACATATATTCACTGAGCTGTACAGAGAAAAGAATCTAGCTTAAATTTTCCATACAATCTTCAACAAGTACTGAAGGCTTGTGACAGGTTACAACACGGAGCAGCTTTCTCCATCACTTGCCTGTGAATTAAAATAATGGGAAGAATCCAGGGCAGAAAGTGACAAGAAGCCCTCCACACACAGCCTGGACCTCACCTGCTGCTGAGCTACTGAATTTCCATGGCTACTGAACTTTCAGAGTGAAGGGAGGGAAATCTTTCCAACTTCACTGCCACTTACAACCAGTTGTTTAAACAGGTACATTGTTGGCGTCTCTTTCAAGCTCTTCTCTCACCGAAATCTACTAAGGCAATTGTTCTCCAACTTCAGTGTACATCAGCAGAACTTATTAAGCCTGGATTGCTGGGCCCCATATCCATAGTTTCTGCTTAGGAGGCCTGGAGTGAGACCCAAGCATCTGCATTTTGAACAAGGTCACCAGGTGATATTAGTGCTGGTCAGGAGAGACACTTAGAAAAACCATTGTGCAGAGGACAAGAATCAAAGCTGCAATTCTAGGAATATTCATGCTGCCCATTGGCTCAGAAACAAGTGCTACAAGCTGTGTGGTTTCTTCACACCTGGAGAGGAACACATTGAGATGTATGAAGATGCAACAGTTGTGCCCACAGGAGGCCCTTCATTGACACAGAGACCATCATAGGGAAATATTCTCTTGTTGAAAACAATTTGCCCCAATGATTAATTACAAGAGAAAGACTGACCTTATCAATCTGAGAAGCACAGTCACCCCGAGTGCCCAGACGGATCATGGCCAGGGCAGTGAAGAGGCCCAGAGAGGAAAAGAACACATTTCCATTTCCTTGATTGCTATCCATCTCTCTGAGAAGGTTGAAGCAAAATTCTGCATTTGCTGCAGCAAGGGAGGCCATAGTGAAATGAAGTGCAGCCTAGAAAACAATGAGAAAATAAAGTTAGTTCCAAGGACATTGTCTATGAATATTATAAGGTTTTTGTTAATTGTCAGAGAGAGAGAGAGAGAAGGAGAAAGAACCCTTTAATGGGGCATGGGCCCATCACAGTCCCTTCTTCATTTTTCCATCCTGTTGGGATTTTTGCACGCATGCACATGTGTTTCTCAGGCTCCCGGGCTGGGATTCAAACCTTGGTCAGTCATGTGGGACCTGGCTTCATTAGTCACTAGACTATGGGGTTGACCACAATTAAAGTTTTTATATTCATTTATTTTCTAAATTCAAGGTCTCCTTTCTTCAGCTTTGGACGTAATTATCATACAACTTATAGGTAAATAAATTCCACTGGCCCAGCCTCCTTGTTAATAACAATCTCAAACTATCTTTTCTGGCAAAAATATTGTGATCCTCTCAATTTTTTCACACTGATATTCTTTAGCACAGTATTTCTGCCTGTACTCCCATGTATATCTCCAGGGTACATTCCTGTATTCCTGTGTTTTGTTTGTTTGTTTGTTTTTCTTTTTCTTTGTTCTTGTTGTTTTTCTTTTCTGATGTGGCATTTCTATACTCAGTAGCTGGCGTGGGCTCTGTTTTCCAGTCCTCAACAAACATTTTCATGGGACTTATGTACCTCAAACAACCTCAGGTTTTAAAACTGAAATAGAGCAAAATCACTGTTTAAAGTAAAATGACAACACTAGACAATCTACTCAAGGCACTATAACTTTCCAAACCATGTGTAACTTAATGAAATATTAAAAATTTGGAATCTATCACATCATTTTCTTACCATTCTTCTCTATGAGAGCCTCCACACATTTTCTTTGACCAAGCATACATCCTCATTGTTTTCAGGACCATCCTAATTTCAAATATTATGCATCACTGACTTTACAAGTATATTTATTCTCTTAAGACCATTTTCTGATTTTTTTAAATTTTGATATGGCGAATATGACTAATATGAATATTCACCAGACTTTTTTTTCTATGTCCCATAAATGTCTTGCCCCTTAATTTTTCTCCTTGATTCTTTTTCTCACCCTCTCTCCTTTTTCCCACTTCCTTCTCACACTGTGCCCAGTATCTGCAACCATTTTGCATGCTTCTATATCCTCTAATCTTTCCATTTCTGCCACAGAGTGTGGACAGTTAGTATACATTAAGTGGAGACATACAATGTCTCTCTTTCATAGCCTGGCTTGCTTCATTAAGCAATAAATCTTCCATTTTTGTCCACTTTCTATCAAATGCCAGGGTCTTGTTGCTTTTTATGGTTGAGTAGTATTCCATAGACTATATGTGCCACACTTTTTCAACTCTATTACACTGTTGCTCAGAATGTAAATTACTCTAGGCACAAGACTTTCTAACACATGTCTATCACCAGACAATGTAGGGTACAGTGAAAAGTTTAGAATTGAGAATGAAAATCATATTTATCTTTGAATTCTTGGTAATGTGTTTCTGAAATATAGGGAATTGACACCACCATGGAATTCTTCAAGGAAATGCATTGATATGTCTGTGCAGACTTCCTCCATAACTTAAACTGATCCCAGAACCTTAGTTGGTCTTGTTCTGGGCTAAATGGATTTACATGGATCTTCTACATTATTCCCCTTGATTATTCCTTGATATCACATTTCATAGTGTGGCATCTTCCAGGAGTCACAGACCCTTACAAGACCCAGTCCTAGTCACAACCCAGTAGCTAATTGTTGTGTCACCTGAACCAAGTTTTTCATTTTTCTGAACTTCTAAGTTACATTTTATTCAGGGAGATGATCAGTTCACAGGATCTAGCATAGTGATTCTCAACAGAAAATCATGTGGCCTTCTATCTCTCACCCCATGAGAGGAGAACATATACATCATGGTACCTGAGGGTGGAGAGTGTTGGTGGCCCTGGTATGATTGCAGTGGTGGTGCCCTACCACCTCTGCCACCATGGTGGCATCATGGCTTAGGTAAGGTTTATGACAGAGAACCCATACAGGCTAAAAATTATTGCAGAGAAACATGAGCCAAGACATTCCCAGACAATTATAATTTCTCAAGCCATAACTTTGAAATGATGGATGGTACTAAATAGTGTATACTTCAACACTCATACAGACATGTTCACACATGTCAAAAATTCCAAGAAGAATGTGCCATTTCACATAATTATTATCTTTCTCTATGCAGGTACACAGTAATTTCCAGAATTAAATAGAGATTCTTTCCTTTTCATCTAGTTTAAAGTTTGAATCCCAATGGCAAGTACACAACTATATTTAAGGCAGAATTAACTGTCTTATACCCAAGATTTCATCAGGTGACAGATGAATAAAAAATACCATGGGACCAAAACTATGTCTTTTTTTTCTTTTGCATGTAATTACTTCCACAGTAAGTTAAAAAGAAATTAATAAAACACTAATAGTAATAAACTACCTATAGGCATGCCACCAACAAATACCAAAAGACTTGGGGCCCAGTTATATAACCAAGAAAAATGAAAAGGAAACAAGCACATTAAAACTATAGAAGATATCAGAATGATACTACCCAAAATGCCATTGTCTGGACGTACAATGAAGAAAATTCTTTTCAAATAATAAAAGAATTTGGCTTTATAAATTAATTTTTGGCAAGCATACATGCCCTATAGCAAAAATCTCTCCAAAAAAAAAAGAAATTTTTATATTTCAGTAACAATGTACCGTATTGTTTCTTGCATACATATTTTAGTTTGACATACAGTATATAATTAATTTATAATTTTCAAGTTAACACAAATTAGTAAATACACTTAAAGATGTTTAAATCTCAATTTTGAGAAGTGAGGACCTAAACGTCCATAATAGCTGAGGTATATTTGATTATTGATGGTATATTTCAATCTGGGAGTTATTTTATCTCTTTTCTATAGTTAATATATGATTTGCATCAAAAATACATACAAAAACATGTTGTCACCAAGCCTCTTTTTAATGGTCTAATAAAAAAAATGAGAAAAATAAAATTTTAAATAAAACATAAGAAAAATCAAGCACAAAACACATTCAATAAATTATGAAATTATAATGCCAAAATTTCATGGATCTAAATTTATTATATCTAATTGAAAAATTGTGTATCTTAAATGCTTTATAAAAATACTGTCTTGGGAACCAGCAGTTAGCGTAATGGCTATGTCGCTGGATTCCCACGTAGTCGACCGTGGTTCACGTCCCGGACCCGGTGGCTTAAATCTCACGCCGGGCACGTGTGCGTGCGTGCCCAAGATCCCGAGAGGAGAATGGAGGAGAAGGGATTGCGGCGTGACCATCCCCCCTGGGGGGTGATTTCTCGCTTTCTGTCTCTATTTCTCTCTCTGTCTGTCTGGCGAGTGCACGCGCCCTATAGCAAAAAAACCTCTCAAGAAAAAAAAAATACTGTCTCATCTTAGGATAATTTTGGACTATATGAGAAAAAGAATCATAGCTCGTGATACATTTCTTTTTAAAAGCTTTCATATTTACTGAATAAAACTTTAGATTTAGAAAGAAAATGAATACTGCTCATATGCTTAATTTTTATTCTTATTGATAGGTCAAAAAAAAATTTTTTTGAGAGGTTTTTGCTATAGGGCATGTGCACTCGCCAGAGAGAGACAGAAAGTGAGAAATCACCCCCCAGGGGGGATGGCCACACCACAATCTCTTCTCCTCCTTTCTCCTCTGAGGATCTTGAGCACACACGCACACGCGCCCAGCATGAGTTTAAGCCACCGGGTCCAGGACTTGAACTATAGTCGACTACATGGCAGTTCAGCAACATAGCCATTACACTAGCTGTGGTCCCGATAGGTCAAATGTAATGCTACTCTTACTACTCCTCATAAATGCAATAAAATCTTTCTATTTCTTTCAAGAAATGGTTTCAAATTTTGATAAATCCCTAATCAGATGAGTACTTAACTATATAATTAAAACAGAGTTTAATTTGAATATCAAAAATTAGTATATTCTGAAAACTTGTAATGCCTTAAATAAGAAGTGTAGAAATAGAAACCCTAGATTTAGTCAGTGTTCCCTATTTATCTATACTCAGAGAAAGCACACAAAGTGCAGGGCGTCTGATGTTGCACTGCAGTGCTGCCATTCTCTGGGGACACCACTTAAGTCTGCCATAGGCCAGCCCTGAGGTAGAGAAGCAGAGATCAGTACTAGACAATGATTCTGATATTATTTGATGAGTTTAATGTCTCTGAAGCAGCCAAGAATCACTCATCTCTCTCTCTCCCTCCTTTCCCTCCTTTTCTATCAAACACAATCTCTCTCTCTATTAAATATATGTATATATATATATATATACACACACACACACACACACACACACACACACACACATGTATGTGTGTGGGGGTGGGTGTGTATTTAAATTTAAATTTTATATATATACATACACACACACACACACACGTATGTGTGTATTTCTCTCTCTCTCTCTCTCATGTCTGGTCAGACTTTAAATTTAAATTGCAAACTTCAGAAATAATTACCTTACTGTCTTCATAGAGGAAGTTAGCAAGCTGGTTGGGTGAGTCTGAAAGTGCTCCTTGCATTACTCTGAAATATAAAGCCTCTGACTCAGACACTCCAACTTCCTTTAGTGATGACCATGATAGTTTTAAATAATGTCATCAGAGTGAAATTATGTTCAGGCTTTTTATAAGCAAGTTAAAAGATGTTTGTAGAGTATTATCGGCAGCTCTAATATAAAGTAGTCAACGTATATGTGTTTAATAAATCAGATACAGCATGAAACTTTATGTAATTTGGTACTTATTATCACGAGCATTTCTCTGTGGTAAATATATAGATATTCCTGCTCTGTGGCAGAATGGGTACATTTTATGTATGAAAATTTAATTACTGATTTTGTTGTTACTTGGTTCCTTCCCTCCTTTTTAATACAAAGCCAGGAATATGGCAACACCCCACATTCAAGGATTCATATTCTAGCATCTTTCAATGTAACTATCATGGTGAAGTATTGGTGAAGTTCAGGATATGTGAGGAAAGTCAGGTGCTGGAGAACAGTGGACATTTCTCATCCAGAAAACAAAGATCGAGATCAATTATATTTTCTTAAAAAAATAAAAAGTCTCAGCCTCAGTGGTATACACTGCTGGGAGTCTGTGCCCCACATGAGAGGCCTGGGTTCAATTCTCAGTCTAGCCTAGTGACCAAGGAAGGTGTCAGGCTCCTACTGTCCCACCTACTTGGGAGTCTGAAGCAGGAGAAGCAGGACAAGGCAAGACCTTCTGTTAAAGGACCCGCCCCATGTTAGGGGCCTGCTCTGTGGCCTAGTGGTTAGGAAAGCTAGATCTCATGCAGCTGACTGCGGTTTGAATCTCAGCCCTGCTGGCTTGAAAAACATGCCGGGTGGATGTATGCGGTTGCCTAAAATTGCACCAGGATAGAGAAATGGAGAAGGGATTGCAGTGCGACTATGCCCGTTGGGGGATGCTTTCTCCCTCTCCTTTTTCCTCTCTCCAACTCTTTCTAGCAAATGCCCTCTGACAAATAAATATGTTATTAGTGATCCTTTCAGGAGAAGTAAGGTTGTAATTGTTTCTGCTTTTAGTTTACTCACTATCCCCACAAATGTTTGCTCACAGTCTTCATTTCCATTGCACGATTTATTGTTAAAGCTGATTATCTCGACCATTTGAATATCCTGTCAGAGTGATAGTTGTGTTTGAACACATGGGAAGAGCTCTCTAACTCCATTGGAAAAATAATACATTATACTGTGAAATACATATCCTAGTATATTTGATTGCTTCGCATGGATACAATTCTCTTAGTTGTAATAATTTAACTATGAATATTGACCTAAACAAACTTATATATCTGTCTAGGGAGATTAGGAGGAGAAGGTAGGGGGCAGGATGGGTAAGGAGGTATATCATCCTTTCATAAAAGGAAATCCACCTACAGAGAGTCTCTAACAGTGAGAAGCAAAAACAAGAAATCAGCATGTGTTTTACTATCAGGAGGAAGATACTAGCAGCAGCATTACAAGCAATTGAATGGTCGTTCTCATGAAGTGGGAAGCTGAGCGGGAAGAGAGGAGCAGGCAGAGGTGTTGAGCTGTCTGCAGGATAAGCCTTGTGGTCTCTCTCAGACGCCTCACCTCTACACCATACATAGCTGGTCGATAAGATAACGGAGAGATGAGGAGCGCAAAGGCTAAATCCAGCTGGGCAATCGACTGGCTGTGTGATCTGAGTAACTAACTGCATTTCTCTCAGCCCCCGTTTTCTCTCTCATAAAATAAGAATTTACCAATTGTATTTTCATTTAAAAAATTAGCTATACATAGGTGTGTGTGTTATATATATATATAATCATCAGCATGGCTTATGTAATGGGGTAAAGTGCTCAAAAGTTTTCTTCCATCCTACCTACTCTCCACAGATTTGCCCTTTTCATTGTACCTTATATATTACTGCCATTCAATATAGGAAATTGGGACATTTCTGCCATTTCTATATCACATTTACTTTCTAAAATCTGGAGGTTTGTCTCTATTAATCCTCTAGTACAGGATAATGGCAGTCCTGTCCCTATGAGGCAAATAATACAATGGCTTCTTCACAGGGATTTTAAGCAGAGGAGGAGAAAGGGCTTTAGGAGTGATGGGAATGAAAGCTCAGAATTAATAAGAGGCAGATGAGATGCCTGAATTGCCTAGAAGGAAGACAAGATACCTGAGCTGCCTAGAGCTGATGTGTGGAGGGAAGGACTAAAGTAACCAATTCATTCTGGTTGGCCTTAACCTTCCTGATTTAGCATCCCAGGATTTTACCATAACAGGAAACAAAGATTCCCAAGCAACTGATAGAACTAAGATTTGCAAACCAAATAAAACAGGCTCAAAAGAATACACACAGTATGACATCTTATGTAAAAAAAAAAAAAAAAAGAAAAAAGAAAAAGAATTAGGGGCCAGCAGGTAGTATGGTGATTAAGGTGCTGTACTCCCACAGGCCTGACCGCAGTTCAAGTCCCGGACCCGGCAGCTTGAAACTCATGTCAGGTGCATGTGTGTGAGTGCCCAAAATCCCAGAAGGAGAATAGAG